CTCAAGGCTAGCGCTCTACCACTTGAGCCACAGCGCCACTTCCGGCTTTTTTCTTTTTGCTTATGTGGTGCTGAGGAATGGAACCCAGGGCCTCAGGCATGCAAGGCAAGTGCTCTACCACTGAGCCACCTTCCCAGTCCCCTCTGGTTGCTTTTGAAACAGCCTCTCACTTTTTACCCAGCGAGGGACTGGGCCATGATCTTCCTATCTATGCTTCCTGCCATTGTTGTCTCCTGCTCTCTCTCCCTCCCACGTAACTATGTTATGTCCTTCTGATTTGACCACTATCATAAAAAAATATATAGTAACAACGTATTGAGGGTTTATAACACAAAAAAGCTCAACAGGAACATTTTCAGAAGGGAAATACAAGATAGATGCCTTATAAACTAGAGATTTCAGCCTTGTTCCTCACCAGTTTATCTGAAACATCAACTTATTCTTCCTCCTTCCTGCTTTAGTTTTTAGGCAATAGAAAGAAATGTTCTGCCTGCGAAATGTGAAAACAGGTTTGACTCCTAAGACTGCTGAGAAGAAAGTAACCTTCCTAGCTGTAGAGAGAGACTTTGCTCAATCTTGTCTGTGGAGATGCCCACTGACAGGACAGGAGGATTTGTGTAGTTATTTAGGATTTCCTTTGGAAGGAAGCAGGAGTAAGTGTTGAATTTGTGGATTGATGCTTTTGTGCCTGAACCAAGGGTGGTTTATGGGGCTCGGGCTTTACACCTGTTCCCTGATGTTTTGTTCTTACTAGGAGCCAGCCCCACTCTTTGACCTCGCTATGCTTGCCTTAGACAGTCCTGAGAGTGGCTGGACAGAGGAAGATGGCCCCAAGGAAGTACTTGCTGAATACATTGTTGAGTTTTTGAAGAAGAAGGCAGAGATGCTTGCAGACTACTTCTCTTTGGAAATTGATGAGGTGGGGTGGCTATTCTTGAGGTATTAGATTCTTATATTCTTCAGAAAAAAATTAAAAGTTTCATTCATTACGTGTGATATCCTCACCACTCCTTATTTGCATTTCTAGGTTATTATTTATATGTTATTTTAGCTGTGTTGTCATCCATTCTTGCCACTTCTCTTCCCAGGAGTGAAGGATCAAGGCAGAAGGGAGGCTCTGCCACTTGCTCCTTTCTCTCCCTTTTACCCGTTAGTGTTTGGTGCTCTATCTTGATGTGTTCTTTGAACAATGAGCAGACCCAAGAAAAGGTGGTTCTACTACATGTCAAGATTAAAATTCTTTTAACTTGTCCCCAAGTCCTACTCAGTACCTGGTCACCCAACATGGCAGGTGTGAGAACAAGACTTAGAGAAGCACTTAAGAGAAATGAAATATTATTTTTTACCCATTTTTTTGGCCTTTTTCTCACAATCAGGAAGGGAACCTGATTGGATTACCCCTTCTGATTGACAACTATGTGCCCCCTTTGGAAGGACTGCCTATCTTCATTCTTCGACTGGCTACAGAGGTAAGTGGTCAGGCGGGTGCTAAGCATGGGGGTTTGTTCTCGCATGTTTGGGAGGGAAAGAACATACCACCCATACTTCATTTGGAATTGTAAAGGTAACTAGATAAAACCACCAAGGGCCACCCTCTCCCCCCAATATTCATCCCAGAGTATTTAGCAGGCCAACTGACAGTTTTAATCTGTGGAAAGTCACATTTTTAAGCTATGATTTACAATCTCCATTTAGAAATGACAATGTTTAAAGCATGTACTCATCTTGAGGTATTGAACTTTTTGAACCAGGTGAATTGGGATGAAGAAAAAGAATGTTTTGAAAGCCTCAGTAAAGAATGCGCTGTATTTTACTCCATCCGGAAGCAGTATATATCGGAAGAGACAGTCCTCTCAGGCCAGCAGGTACTATGGTGGTGGACCCCTTAGGACAGGCTTTCACACACCTTTAGACGGTGAGACTTGTCAGTTTCTAAAATGCTACTGTGTGGAGTAAGATTCAAATAGTGGTCAGTTTTTCTAGTAGACCTTAGGATTAGCTTAGGCTTCCCTCAAACTTAAGGTCCTTCTCTCTGTGAATCCTGAGTGCTGGGATTACAGGTATGTACCACCTCTTCTGGTTTATTCGTGAGTGGGGTTTGACCTCAAGGCCTTGCACTTGCTGGCCTGGTACTTTAATACTTAGGCCACACCTGCTTGCTGATTATTTGGAGATGGCATCTAGTGAACTCTTTGGCCCCCAACTGCAGTTCTCTGAGTAGCTAGGATTATAGGCATGATCCTCTTGAGTTTTATTTCCTTCTATTCTAGACTAGGTACTTCCAGTGATCTCAGAAACTATCAAGTGTAGAAACAAGTACAAGGCATCACAGTGACAGGGGTGCAACTTAAGACTGTCCTACACTGGTGGGTCTGTTATCTCTCACATCTCCCACTTAACCCCAAGTCTTCACATTCTGGATCAGTTTCCACAGTGACTCTTAGTTCTTTCTCGCTTAACTGCTTAGCCAGGAAGCAAGCTCTACAATTCCTTTTACAGATCATCTGGACACAGAGAGCCCTGGGTTCCTAATGTGTCCCTTTTTCCCAATCACATGGGGAGAGGAAAGAAGGCGCCAAAGTAGGATGGGAATCAAAGGATAGCCACTATGATTTCTAACCATCTTAAAATGATCGGCCCATCCACCCCCACAGGTGGTGGTATTCTTGTTTCAGCAGTAGTAAGGACAATTGGGTGTGCTCACAAGGACTCCCAGAGCCTTTAGATGGTAGAGCAGAGATTTAGTTGTAGGTCCTGTTTGCTCAAACCCCTAGGAAATTTTCACTCCAGTGCTTTGAGAAGGCAGGAGACATATTTGGCAATTAACTAAGCTGAACTTCCTGGTTGGGAAAATCTACTTCAATAACAGGAAGGATAGATAAAAAAAAAAGAGCATCTTGTACACAAGACAACTAAGGCTTTATTTTTCTTTTTTGCCAGTCATGGACTTTTCTGCCCAGGCTGTCTTAGAACTGCAGTCCTCAGATCTCAGCCTCCTGAGTAGTAGCTAGGATTATAAGTGTGAGCCACCAGCACCCAGCAACCTTTTTTATTTTCATTTTTTAAAATATTTTTTCTCTTTTAATTTTCTTTCATTTATTCACTTTTTTTTCCCCTGTGTATGTGGTACTGAGGAATCGAACCCAGGGCTTCATGCATGCTAGGCAAGCACTCTACCACTAAGCCACCTTCCCAGCCGCTTTTAGGCTCCCAAATTTGTAGTGAGTAGTTACTTCCAACTGTTGCCATCCAGATGTTGTGATCAGACATTGATAGATCCTGCTACAAGAAACACAACCTCCTTATATGGAAGTTCAGTTGGAGACAGTCCTACAGAACAGTGGCTTTTCTCCCTCTATTTGTCATCTCCTGTGTTTAAGCCTATTGAATCTCAGAGACTAGCCTACAACAATATAACCCACTGTAAGCCAGCTCAGTATACAGGAAGCCAGTTTGTATAGGAAGATGAGATATATTGCTTGTGTTTCCCAGAGTGAAGTGCCTGGCTCCATCCCAAAATCCTGGAAGTGGACTGTAGAACACATTGTCTATAAAGCTCTCCGCTCACACCTTCTGCCACCTAAGCATTTCACAGAAGATGGTAATGTCCTGCAGCTTGCCAATCTGCCAGATCTATACAAAGTCTTTGAGAGGTGTTAAGTGTGGTTCATTAATGGACTCTAGGGTCTTTTATTCTTCCTCTGTATCCCAATGTTGTTGGTGAAGAGACTTAAGGTACAAGATTTTCAATTGCCTTCTAGCACCCTTTCATGTCTTAATTGACTACAAATAAATTGTCAAATGTGTTTTAATGTAATTTCTTATTTACTTCACAATTGAAAACTTCTATATCAATTTTCCCTAATCCACTCATGTTAAAAAAAAATCCCAAAGAAGTTTGGCATCTGACAAGGTGTTCTAGCAAACACAATTAAGAATCCTAAGGTCTTGAGGATTTTCCAGATTTTTCTGCTCTGGGAAATTTATCAGGTTTCATGTACTATATGTCAGTTCAGATGTCTTTTGAAAGAATCTTCAACATGTAAGAGACTGCTGATATTGACCATAAAGAAGGCCTTGAAGGGGCTGGGAAGGTGGCTCAGTGGTAGAGCGCTTGCCTTACATGCATGAGGCTCTGGGTTCAATTCCTCAGCACCACATAAGCAAAAAGAAAAAAGCTGGAAGTGGCGCTGTGGCTCAAGTGGTAGAGCGCTAGCCTGGAGCTGAAGAGCTGTGGGACAGTTCCCAGGCCCAGAGTTCAGGCCCCACAACCGGACCCCCAAAAAAAAAGGAGGCCTTGAAGTAAAAATCTTATTAATATCTTCAGTAAGCCAATCTAATTTTTTCTTAAGGGATAAACTTGAGGGAAGAAATCAGTTCTTATCCAGTGTTTAACAGGCATGAGTTATAATGTAAATCCATGTTGCTAATGGCCATGAGTACTTGTCACTGAAGTTTATAACTGAAGCTTCTAAGTATTCTTATTTTAAGTATAATGTAAAAATGAGGTGCCATTGTAAAAAAGGTGCCATATTCACTGGCCTAACTTCTGTTTGTGTCATGTTTAACCTCTTTAACTTTTTTTCTTCAGAATTGCCCTATTGTAGTTAAAACCTTTTAATTTCAGGAATGGGGAAAAACTATTCTCAAGGAAGAGAAAATCTTAAAAGGATAGACCTACTCCTAGATGAGGACCTACGATGTTGAAGGGGCACCCCAGAAAGGGAGATCACCTTATGGAAACCAGAACTGAGATGATCACTCAGATCAAGATTACTTGCTCTGTTGGCTATACTTACCGCATCCCCCTTCATTTTCCTGTTCTAGAAAATATCAGAGCTCCTGTTAGCCCTTCATTATGTTGTTGGAAGTCACTAGACCCAATATGGCCACATTGATTAAATTTCCTTTCTGTCCTTCATCACTTTGATGAGCTCATCTCTTTGATGAGCATATTGCAAGAGGTGGTCAAGCATAGTCCCTTGAGACTTCTGGAGCCAGGCTTTTGTTCTAAGACTCTGGTAACAAAAATATAAACTGTAAGAAACAGACCAGTCAGCACAGAAATTAACCTGTGATGTTAAGGTAAAATCCATATTATGGAGGACCTCAGTGAAGTTCAGTGGGAAAGAACCAAATACCTAGGGACAACGCAATGGAGGACACATTTGTTAAACCATAAAAGGAGCAAAATCAGCTCCTGATAGTTTCAAACTCTAAGCAGCAGACCAACTGGGGCATCTCCGAGGTAAGGTTCCTTCAATCAAGCAGAAGGGACACAGGCCAAACGATTTTGAGAGAGAGAGGAGGGAAAGGTATCACCCTGGTCTCAGGCTGGACCATTCTATGCATTATATAAGAAATTGCATTTCAGAATATCCTTCCCACCATCAACTACACAGCTATTATAATTAGAATATGTTGGGTCCCCAATTCATTTTCAGTTTCCAGATAGGAAACTAAAACCTTAAAAAAACTGAATGGCTCTAAAAAAGGGAACAACTATTAGAGATTTTACTCACTTCTTGGTTAACTTTATTATCTAGTTTCAAGTATATATGGCCTTTATTCATTAGATTTTTTTCCCAGTATATTTTCTGCATGAACACTTTGAAGCTAGTGTAATCATTTCCATTTCTACAGGATCGATTCTGACAAGAGTCCCAACTGCTGCAAAGTGGCTACACTTGATTTTAAGCAACTTGAACTTTAATGATGAAAATCAGACTTAAGAAATCTGTATTCCAGATTATTTGTCCTTGAGGAGGAAAAAGGAAAAAAAAAAAAGGCAAGATGGATATGGTGACCACAGTTTGTTCTGTATCAAAATGAACATGTCAGTAGGCAGTTGTTTGGGCAGAAGGTTGTATTTAATAGAATCTTTGGGAGATTCCCCTCCTGCTTGCTCTGCCCTCCCTCCCCATTTTGGATTTGTTTGAAGCTTCATTCCACCAATAAGCAGCAGATGAAAATACTTTACAAGGTACAGCACAGTTGATTTGGAAGAATAAAGACCCTATTCTTTAAGAATACAGGCCTTATACTCCCCTTGCCCCATGCAATAAAGCAAGTTTTATATACACTCCCCATTTTTCCTATCATTTTCTCATATAAATTTAAATATTTTACAAAGGCTTTTTCCTCCAAACATTGAAATACAGACTCCCAACCTGTGAACTTACTTCCTCACTAAAATATAAATGCTATCTGATAGGAAGAGTAAATATCTTTTGCCTACTCGAGATCCTGAAGTCTGAACTGTACTGTGGAGAAGGCACTTGTGTTTTGTGATAACTCCAGCAAGTGTCAGTGAGCTCAGAATCGCTGTCCTACAGTGTTCAGTCTGAGGCAGCTGGGGAAAAATGATGACTATACTTGATTTTCAGAAATTATGGAAATAAAAACAGCACAATTTCTTGAGTCTAGAATCAAGCTATAAACAAAATCCAGAGTAATAATTCATGAAGATTCAAACCTGCTTCACTCCCATAAATTATAAAATACAGGTGGCTGTTTTAATAATGACTCAAAACAGTACTGAAAGGGGTTTGTGTCGGTTTGTGTCAATATACAAAAAGTCCTTCTGGGCAGAGCTCTCAGAGCAACACCCAGTTTGAAGAGTAGCTTCTCTACTGCTGGGCCAGAAGTGCTGTCCTGTTGGCCTTCATCTTCTCCAGCCTCTTGGCCAAATGGCTATTAGTCATCTCCATCTCCTCAATCTTGTCCAGTGCTGTTCGTAACTGGAGACAGAGAGAGCATAATCACTTTAGGTGATCAGAAACAGCAGTTAATACCTTCTAGTAAACTGAAGGCATTACTACACAGAGTCCCCAGACAATCTCCTTTTTTTCCCCTAAGCGTTAGAGGTATTAAACATCACAGAGAAGATACACAGAATTTGCAGAAACAGACTTGATCTGTAAAGTAAAAATTAAAACCTACAAGTAAGGCGGCCGTCACTGTGCAGATATATAAAGCCAATAATATGTGACTCCACTTGTTTTAAATTTAATTAAATTTAAATTAAATTAAATTTCTTAAACAGTGAAGAATTTCAATAACTTTTTTTCTGTTTAGGAATGAGTTCTCCAGTAGCATACGTACCTCTCGTTGTAGCTTCCTCTTTTCTGCTTTGAGCTCATCTTCAACTTTCTCAGCATTCTCAGCAGCAGTTTTATATCTTAGCACCTGGCCTTCAAGACGGTTAATCTGTAAATATGATAATCTGTTAAAAGCTCCAGTCTTGAATTTTCTTGAAGCAGCTACAAAAAGAATTACAAGTTCATATTCCTATATATTTTTAAGAAATACAGGAAATATAAGAATAAATATAAGAAATATAATTTCTATGAAATAATTAGCACCTGGCCTTCAAGCCGGCTAATCTGTAAATAAAATAATCTGTTAAAAAAGCACTGATCTTGGGCTGGGGATGTGGCTTAGTGTTAAGAGTGCTGCCTAGCATGCAGCATGGGTTTGGTTCCTCAGCACCACATAATCAGAAAAGGCCAGAAGTGTTGTTGTGGTTCAGATGGTAGAGTGCTAGCCTTAAGCAAAAAAAGCTCAGGGATAGTGCCCCGGCTCGGAGTTCAAGCCCCAGGACTAGGAGAGAAAAAAAAAAAAAAAAAGCTCTGATCTTGAATCTCTTGAAGCAGCTACAAAAAGAATTACAAGTTCGCATGCACGCACGCACGTGTGTGTGTGTGTGTGTGTGTGTAATTTTTTTTTTTTTTGGCGGGGGGTCAGAGCTTGCTCAAGGCTCGCACTCTACCACTTGAGCCACAGTGCCACTTCTGGTTTTCTGGTAGTTAATTGGAGATAACAGTCTCACAGACTTTTCCTGCCTGGGGCTAGCTTTGAACCGCGATCCTCGGATCTCAGCCTTCTGAGTAGCTAGCATTATAGGCATGAGCCACCGGCACATGGCCATATTTCTATATTTTTAAGAAAATATGAAGTTGAGGGGCTGGGAAGGTGGCTCAGTGGTAGAG